GATTAGGAGAAAGTGGGACGCTGGGACACAAATGACTTGTCATATTCTAAAATAAACAAAGAGGTGAAGTTTATATAGGCTGCGCTGCACTAGTCGTTAAAAACAACTACAAATGTTTTGGTTGTTCTTTTATATCTTGTCTTTTTTTCCATTTTCAAAGGGTGTGGCTCGGTTTTATAAGGCTAAGAAAAACCACATTATTACCACGCAGACCGAACACAAGTGTGTGCTGGACTCCTGCCGAATTATGGAGGCAGAGGGTTTTGATGTAACATACTTACCTGTGAAAAATAATGGACTGATTGATTTGAAGGTAAGCTTTCTGAAAGAGGAAACTTCCAATTTCAGCACCAACCAGAGTAGCAAAAATAATTACATGCTCGGATAGATTGCAGTCCTGTTGGTGGCTGATACTGGCACAGAAAAAAAACATGTGAAAAATTCATCTTTTTGTTTTTTTTTAAACAATGTTTTTTATTGTACTTTTGCAAATTTACTGTATTTTAAATATACCTTATATTTTGCTTTCTTAGCAATTAGAGGAAACAATCCGTCCTGATACCAGTTTGGTGTCCATAATGACTATCAACAATGAGATTGGTGTCAAACAACCAATCAAAGAAATAGGTAACTCTTACTATCAACATCATTCTCTAAACGTGTACCTGTCAATCTTCATATCATCTATATCAATAATGTTTTTGATTTCAGGTCATCTGTGTAGGTCCAAAAATGTGTTCTTCCACACTGATGCTGCTCAGGCTGTTGGAAAGATCCCCATTAATGTCAGTGAATGGAAAGTGGATCTGATGTCCATCAGCGGCCATAAGATCTACGGGCCCAAAGGTAGCATATTGTACATTTAAATGCGCAACGGTCACATTATCCAAAATATATTAATGAGTGGTTGTGTTTTAAGGAGTTGGGGCTTTGTACGTGAGGAGGAGACCCAGAGTTCGTATTGAGCCTTTGCAGAACGGAGGGGGTCAGGAAAGGGGTCTACGTTCAGGGACCGTGCCCACACCTCTCGCCGTAGGCCTCGGAGCCGCTTGTGAGATCGCCCAGCAAGAGTTAGAGGTAGAGACTTCAGAGTTAAGAGTTAAACTTGCTACTGCTAGTCTAAGTTCGCTTATATGCAGGTTTCATTTTCTGTTTATTTTCAGTACGATCACAAGCGTGTGACAGTGCTTGCAAATCGCCTCGTGCAGAAGATCATGTCGCAGATTCCTGATGTTGTGATGAATGGAGACCCAGATCAGAGGTACCCAGGTAAGACTTGACTTTGTAATTGTCATTTATTTATAAGGTTCCATGTTGACTTGAGTTTGTAATCTAAAAACACTTTCCTCCTTCAGGATGCATTAATTTATCATTTGCCTATGTTGAGGGGGAGAGTATGTTGATGGCGTTAAAAGATGTTGCGCTTTCATCTGGAAGGTCAGTAGTTTCAAATGTCTGACCGGGGTTTATAAATATTTGTGTGCAGGTAAACTTGGAGAAAGAGTACACGTTTTTCATTTACATAGATATTGTTAAAATACAAAGCTGGTTAAAAATAGTGGAAGTTATCTTTTTACTAAAACGGTTAAAAACA